CCCCCCCCCCCCCCCCCCCCCACCCCCACTCGGCGCCCCATGGCGAAGCAGGGCGAAGGCGATCCGCGGTGGCGCGTCACGCAGCGCCCAGACGGGCGCAACGTGAACGGCTGGCACTGGGAGGACAAGAACGTGTCGGCGTGGGCGCACGCGCGCATCAAGGACCTTCTCACCCCGCTGCACTGCACGGCTGGCGACGGGGTGACGCGCGTGGCCGTGGAGGCCGTGGACTCGGTCGACGGCGACGCCACGCTGTACAACCGCAAGGGCGTGCTCAAGGTCCTGTACGACCTCAAGGTGTGCGGCAAGTGGTCGACGCGGCACGAGGAGAAGGACGAGCGGACGCACGGCGAGTTCAAATTCGAGCTCTTCGACGAGGACCCAGAGGTGAGCGTGGGCGTGGACGCCAAGTCGCGCGCGGTGCACGAGTACCGCAAGGCGTTTGCGGACAAGGTCGGCCCGCAGATCCGGGAGCAGTGCCGCGTGTTCATCAAGGAGATGCACGCGGGCGCGGGGCACGCTGTGGACGGGCTGGCGCTGCCCGCGGCGAGGAAGAGGCTGAGCGAGCTCAAGGTGACGGACTTTGCGCGGTCGGGCGCGGCGGCGGCGGCGAGCAAGGGGGCGACGGCGACGGCGGGCGCGGGCAAGGCGGGCGCGGGCAAGGCGGGCACGGGCAAGGCGGGCGCGACGCTGGTGCTCAAGGACGAGTTTGCGTGCCGGGCGGCGGACATGTTCCTCGCGCTGACGGAGCGCGGGCGGCTGGAGGCGATCACGCGCGCGCGGGCCGTGTCGGAGGCCGTGGTCGGCGGCCGGTTTGAGGTTCTGAACGGGGCCGCGCGCGGCGAGTACACGCGGCTGGAGGAGGGCAGGTGCGTGGGGATGAGGTGGAAGCTCAAGACGTGGGGCGAGGCGGCCGCGGCGGGGGAGGCGGTGGTGCGGCTGGAGACGACGGAGGAGGGGAAATGCGCGGTCGAGGTGACGATACTGGGCGTGCCGGAGGGCGAGCAAGGGAGCACCGAGGGGTTCTGGCGCGTGCAGGTGTTCCAGGCGATGAAGGTGGTGATGGGGTGGGGGAGCGCGTCGCAGTTCTTGTAGTCTCGTGGGGGGGCGCGGGAGGCGGGAGGCGGGAGGCGGGAGGCGGCGCAAAATGGTATGAGAAACGGGCGGCGCGGCGCGGTGTCTTTACATGTTAAAGCGGGCCGGTACTGTACTGTAGAAAAAGAATCAGCAGTTAAGATTTTTTGCGTGCACTGTAGCACGGGCGGTGATGATGGTGGTGTGAGGATCATGGTGAGGATTATGGTGATAATGATGAGGATTATGGTGATAATGATGATGACCACAGATGCCGTTGTATGTTTTCAAAGCTTCCCCATCCCTTCGACGGTATGTTCACGTACTCCCAGCGTGCGTCCGTCTCCTGCGGCTTTGATGATGATGATGATGATGATGATGATGATGATGATGACGACAGATGCCATTGTGTCTTGTTGACAACTTTTGACATCAAACCCTTCCCATCCCTTCGACGGTATACTCACGTACTGCCAGCGAGCGCCCATCTCCTACGGCTTGAGCTGCGTGTACTTCCAATTCGAGCCGCCGACCGGCTGCTCGGACTCGATATCGAAGCCCCACTTGTCGCGCATGCGCTGCCTGCTCTCGCGGTTGACGTCGTCGACCAGCTTCTGCAGGTCCGCGCGCGGCGCGGCGGCGTCCATCGCGAGGCTGCGCTTGCCGAGGCGGCGCAGCGCCGCGGCGCGCGCCGACGACGGCGCCCGCCCGCCCGACGACGCGCCCGTGCCCTTCGCCGCCGCCGAGCCCTTCGACGACGCGCCCGCGCCCGCGCTCTTCGACCCCGAGCCCTTCGACGCCGAGCCCTTCGACGCCGCGCTCTTCGCCGGCCCCGCCCCCTTCTTCGGCGTCGTCGTCCCCATGTTCCCAGACGGTGGAGGCGTCGTCGTGCGGCGGCGGGCGCGGGAACGCGGTATCCAACGCCCCAGTGCCCCGCGCTTATATACTGCCCCTCCCGCGCGCGGGCGCGCCCGCGCGGGCAATGCGAGGTTGCCGCAGAGATGCCCCTCCCGCGCTACGTTCCGTACTGTACTGCGGCAACGATGAATTATTTTTAGCCAAGGCCCTCCCGCTGCCGCCACGCCCCCCCGCCAGCCACGAGACCGCGCCCCCGCCCCCCACCGCCCCCCGCGCGTCCCACAGCCGACGCCCGGCCGACACGACATGCCGCGCGGCGTTGTCCCGCCCGATCGGACGCGCGCCAGGTCACCGCGCGGCGTTGTCCCGCCCGATCAGACGCGCGCCAGGTCACCGCGCGGCGAGGGCGCGTGCGGAGCGGGATGAGGCACCCGATGAGGCACCCGATGAGGCACATAGTCCATCCTTTGTCACATTTCAATTGTATTTTTTTTAGTTTTCCGCCGAGTAGTCTTCTCTCTCCGCCTGGAGGTCGGCGCCTGTACCGGCCCCGGTTTCCACGGCAACCTGTTCCGTACTGCTGGCGACACGCGCACTGCCTTCCGTGGAAGGGCGTGCGGAGGGCAAGAACCCCGGGCAAGAATGGGAGGGGCCGGCATGGGAGGGCAGGAATAGGCGGCAGGAATGGGAAAGCAGGAACGGGGGGACAGGAATTGGAGGGCAACAGGCGCAAATTGAACCACTGTGGCGCAGATTAAACTGATGACATTCCTCCACCGCCGACAATACTGACGGCGTCCCGCCCGGTGCCCACGTCGACGCGGAAGGACTATTGCCGTAGGAAAAAAAGGCAGTAGCTGCGGGAAAGGGCGCGCAAGGGAGAGAGGACGAAGGAGAAGGAGGGACTCCAACCGATACAGCTGTATTGTACAGTATGCGACTCATACAGCCCGCCATGAACGGCGATTCGGCTCACCCTCCACATTCAACCGTCAATTTCACACGAGACTCCTTAAATATTGAGATAGAATTTAGAATTTTAAACTACGTTCAATGAATTTTAACTTTTCGTTATGCTTTCAACTGGACTTTATGTGTTCTCTCATGCAAATGCTAAAACTCTCCCATGCACCGGCCGCTTGCGCTCGCAGTACCGTACTGTAACTAGAAGTCACTCTTCTCTTCTCGCAATGCTATTCACGCATCTGCACACACCGAATATCTCACCGCACCGCAATGAGATATCCCAGATTTGCCACGGATATCTCACCCCAACTCTAACCCTCCACGACACACGCTTACCGGGTACTGTACCAAGGGTACAGTACTTGCATGAACAGCGCGCATAGCACTCATCCAGAAACGCCTTCTGTGTGACGCCGTTTGCCTCATACTGTACAGATTTTCTACTCGGTACTCTCCAGTGCATACATATCTCCCAGATATGTGCATATGCATTCATTTCAGCACTAATAATTGAATCGCAGGAATCGCAGGACAGTGTCACACATTCACCATCGAACAAAAAAAAACTTCCAACAAACCTTCTATTCATTCGTTCGTCCACTCGATACTCGTGACATCGGTCTACAGAACCGTTCTGTCCTAAATCTCTCATCCTATGCATCTATCTGGCGATTGCGGGAGCCGCGCTCGCGGCGTGCAGCAATCACAAGCTGCATTACAAAAAGCCATTCACGCGTAGGACCGACATGTTCACTTCATCTAACTTAACAGTACTGTCGGGCACTAGTGTCGATTCATTCCGGCAAGCATTAGAGTGAAGCACCAAAGGTCGCCACCAATTTGTTGCCCTACATCATAACATTATCACCACGGTCCACGACTGCAATTCCATATATATATATATCTATCTGACTCGTGCTCTACACAAAAAGCCACAAGAACGAAACAGTGAACAAGTTACCATTTTGTTACATATCTTGCCAGACCTCTCCTGTGCGAGCGTCCGCTCTTTTGTTCTCAACGACTCGCCTTCCACCACGAGGAACACCGTAGTCTCCCGAGCCCCTACTGTTAGAGTCAAGACTCCAAGATTTCTTGTCTCGTGTGTCGGAAAATTGTTTTGAGCTTTCTTGTAAGAAAGCTCAAAGCAGTTTTCCGATACATTCTCGGCATCAATGCTCAGCGTCGCACCCAGCTCTATAAAGTGATATGGTCCTTCTAATTTGCAGCGGGGTATCGCACCTAGTAAAAATGTTGAAAAAGGGTTTTCAAGGGAACATCATAGTGCTTGTAAGAGACTATGCACAGTTGTGGCAACAATGTAAAAACCCTCCTTATGCTCGTCCCACCTGGCCGTAACTCAAGCAAAACCATCACCAAACACGGTTTTGACATTTCAATCCAGTACTGAGTCGTCATGGCACTATCTACGGTATGTGCGGTGCGAAAGAAAATATGCTTGCGCATGCTAGTGTTAGAGATAGTGACTAGTAGGCACTGGTCTATTGGAACCTTGTCCTCATATGAGGACATTATTCGACCTATTTTATTCTTGACTTCTGCTTCCTCGACAAGAAAGAAAAAATGCCTCCGCCACCGTACTGGAGTTCTGACTTGGAGACAGAAAGAACTTTGTGAGAATTGCATGTTCTTCGTGGTCGTTTTTAGATATGTTTTGAAGAGATGCTTTTTTAAACAACCTTAAACCCGCATGTAAAATAACTTTGAAACCAAAAACGCCATTTTAAAATGGTAAGTATGTACTAAATCTGTATTACATTCTTAATTGTCCTGCATATTCAAAGCTGCTATACCGGTGTTCTACATGCTTTTAGAGCATCTCTCCGTGAGTCTATTCTCTAATCTAATGACAAAATTTCAGTCGCGGAAAAAAATCGACACTCTACCGCACGATTCTAATCTATTCGAGTAGATTTTCCGATAGATTAGAGCTCGATCTGGGTCTCTTCGACCCCCCATTACACCCAAATCGGGCTCTAATCTATTCAATAGAGGTGACACGAAAGCCTCCGGATTGGCTAGTGGGGTACCTGTGCCTGGCAAATGTGTCTTCCGGGCAAATTATACTTCTGACGCGTTCTTTGTTTGCCATCTGTGGTTCCATCCAGAGAAACTTAGGACAGAGCAAAGCAATAAGACAAACCAATAAGGCCAATAAGGCTGTCCACGCACTAAAATAAAGTCACCGCCGGCCCCCACTCTCGGGAGTGGGGGTCATCGGTTCTTGGTATCACAGGTTATGGGCACCACGCAACCACTGAACACGATCCCTCACTAACCCTCACCCCCCACGGCAGACGTTAACAGCCAACCACACTGCGCAAACGGACGAGCCGGACTGCAATACGCTCCGACCCGATCACCCCAACAGGACACCGAAATCACAGCATGAGCAAACACTCGCACAGATCAGGCAATCTGCCTCAACAAACCACCGCGAATTTCTCCTATTGGTAGGACGCGTTAGAGATACACTCACGCACAATAGATGCGAACGATCACCTCACCAACCAGATCGTCGCGCCAACGGACGCCACACCCCAAACTTCCCACCAGCGAAAAGCCGATCAAATGCGCACGGCAATCATGCAAAGCCTCAGCCCAGATGTAGTCAAACTCCTGCCCCCACACATACTCCGATATAGCCCGCACCACAAATGCACTATCATCAAACTAACTGACACATGCTCACTGCAAAACCACGAGCTCTTGGACGCAGAGGCACGGACCCTCAAGTACACAATAGTACAAGACATCAACGACTACATCTCCAAACACAGAGACCTACGACACCGCATGCAAGTATCAGGCTACTCCAACATTGACACTGAACGCAGGACGGTCAGATACATGGTCCAAGGACACTCTTACCACCCCGACGTGCACGCACTCGCAATCCTACTTGTATGCAACCCCCCCCCCCACCACAATACGAGAGTTCACCAATCATTTGCAACAAGTGCAACTCATGCAAGATCCCGCAAAAGCCAAATCGAGCACATAGAAAGGCTACCAACACCACCGGCTCAACTAACGCACAGACACAGAGCACCCCGCGCAACCAAAACGCAAACCACGAGCTTCCACTACGAAAACCAGCAGGACACGCTAGGAAATGGTGTCACCATCATAGAAGCATTACTAACAGCACGGCTAACTGCTTCGCCAGTAGAAAA